ATTTCCTCCCTCTATTTTGGGCTCAGAAACAGCTTCCAGATTCCAGAATGCCCCCCCAAAACCCCCACCGGCATGAAGAGGGGACCTGGCAACCGTATTTCCAAACCTAATATAATTGGACTGTAAAAATATTTGTGCTGATAAGAAAGTACATAACCAAACTTTAAACAAATAAAAGACATATAGAACTAAGAACACAAGAATATAAGAGAAGTATGTTGGATCAGGCCAATGGCCCATCCAACACAGTGACCAAAAACCATCGGGAGGTCCACCAGCAGGGCCAGAAGTCCTCCCACTATTGCTCCCTGAGCACAAGAATACAGAGCATCACTGCCCCAGACATAGTGTTCCATCTATACCTTGTGGCTAATAGCCACTGATGGACCTCTGTTCCATGTGTATAACCAATCCCCTCTTGAAGCTGTCTGTGCTTGTAGCTGCCACCACTTCTTGCAGCAGTGAATTCCATGTGTTAATTACTCTTTGGGTGAAGAAGTACTTCCTTTTCTGTTCTAAGCTTACTGCTCATTAATTTCATTGAGTGCCTATGAGTTCTTGTAATGTGAGAAAGGGAGAAAAGTACTTCTTTCTCTACCTTCTCTATCCCATGCAGAATTTAGTAAACCACTGTCATGTCACACCTCAGTTGTTGTTTCTCCAAGCTAAACAGCCCTAACCATAGGGAAGGTGTTCCATCCCCTTAATAATTTTAGTTGCCCTTTTCTACACCTTTTCCAATGCTATTTTTTTTGAGGTGTGGTGACCAGAATTGTACACAATATTTATTTGCGGTTTTTATTGCAGTTGCACACTGAGTGAACATCTTCAATGAGTTATCTAGAAGAAGATACTGGGTTTATACCCTGCTCTTCACTTGCACACTTAAGGAGTCTCAGAGCAGTTTACAATCTCCTTCCCCTTCCCACAACAGACACCCTGTGAGGTAGGTGGGGCTGAGAGAGCTCTTTTTAGAACTGCTCTTGAGAGAACGGCTCTGAGAGAACTGTGACTGGCCCAAGGTCACACTAGCAGCTGCATGTGGAAGAGTGGGGAATCAAAGCCAGTTCTCCTAGATTAAAGTCAGCACTCATAACCACTACACCAAACTGGCTCTACCATGACTCCAAGATCTCTCTCCTGGTCAGTTACCGACAGTTCAGACATCATCAATGTATATTTATAGTTAGGATTTTTGCCTCCAATGTGCATTAATTTGCACTTGTCTGTGTTGAACCTCATCTGCCACACTGATGCCCACATGCCAAGACTTGAAAGATCCCTTTGGAGCACCTCACAGTCCTTCCTGGTTCTCACTGTCCTGAACAACTTAGTGTCATCCACAATCTAAGACACTTCACTGTTTACCCCCAACTCCAAATCATTAATGAACAAGTTAAAAATCACAAGACCTAGAACCGAACTCTGCGGTACACCACTGCTTAGAATCTTCCACTGTGAAAACTACCCATTTATACTCACTCTCTGTTTTTAATCCACCAGAGGGCTTGTCCTCTTATCCCATGACTGCTGAGTTTACTTAGGAGCCTTTGATGAGGAACTTTATCAAGAGGTTTCTGGGTGTCTAGGTAAACAGCATCTACTAGGCCACCCTTGTCCACATGGTTATTCACGCCCTCAAAGAACTCTAAAAGGTTAGTGGGCGGGGATCAAGCTTCCTCCTTCCCTCCTTCCCTGAGCCAACAATCTTTTCCAAAGCTTGGCAGAAAATCCATCAAGAGGAGCGAATTGCTGCAATCCGACCAATGTGTGTGTGACTCCGTCAACCACTGGTTGCTGCTGGGTCCTAAAGAGACTCATCTCATCGCAGATGAGCTCGAACAGGGAGATGCCAGCTCATATTCGTGAAGCGATCGATCATATGGTGAAGGGGCCGGAGGGAGGGGGAGCTGAGGATCGGGGGAGGGGCCCGCAAAACCAGTGGGTGGGCCGGGCCCCATGGGCCCCATGTTAGCTACGAGCCTGCTTCCAATCCTTGGGAATAGAGGCAGATTTTAGTGATAGATTGAATATTTTTGTCAGGAATTTGTTGTACAATCAGAAGTGAGACTTTTAGGAGCCTGACAGCCTGATTGGCGGATCTCCAGCACCCAGATGAAAAATGCCATGCTAAGATGTGACCAGAGTTCTCTTTGAGACCAACCCTCTGAGCCAACTCAGACAGAACAGATACTTCAGGTATCTGATGAAGTGTGCATGCACATGAAAGCTTATACCCAAAATTAAACTTTGTTGGTCTTAAAGGTGCCACTGGACTCAAACTTTGTTCTTCAGCCAAATCAAGTCTGAGGTTAACCTTAACAAGCGTCATGTGGAAAAGAGACAATCACCTGATTGTCTCTCAAGGAACAAAAACGAGTAGGTTATACATGCAGTTTGGAAGCAAAACCAAGAAAAAAGCACACATGCATATCATAACTATTTAATTCACATATCAATACCTTCAAAATATGTCCAACTAAAACCAGTTTTCAGAATCTTTTATTACATGAAGATGTAATATTTTATTACATCCTGAAGATCTATTCTCTCATTTATCATGCCTAAGCCATGAGTATTAGGATTCTCACACATATTTTGTGTTCTTAATGCCTGGCAATATTTACTGAAGCAAGAGAATGTGCTTACTAGTGCATGGCTAGGTAAGTTGAAAGTATGTAGCATGGGAAAAATGAAGCTTAAACATGGTAAGTGCATTACGAATTAACCATAATCCATGCTAGCTATTTAGATCATCCAGAGCTTATCCAGATGACCAGTTTAAAGCCTACTGAATTTTAGCATTTATGGGATAACTCTGTAAGCCCCAATTTAAATAGCAGCAGCACAATATTCAGCCTTCACTTAATGAATGGCCTTGTTGCACAGCAGAACTGCCTTCCTGAGGGTGAAGGGAAGCAATAGCTGTAATGTTTCTCCATCCTCTCTACTTTTTTAAAAATAAAAGACCAGATACCTTATGTGCCAGCCTTTAAGTCTGCGATGAGAAAACTTATACAAGAACTGGAACTCACTTGTCTCAAGGTAAAGCCCAAAGAGACCCTTTGTTAGTTTTACCTCAGCAGACACTTCAGCAGAAGATAAAGTCTGAATTCTGCTAGCTAGCCAGGGTTAAAACTCACAAGGGGCTACTTTATGGTTTGCTTTGACACTATTTATTTTCTACTCCCATGTGACACTCCTTTTTGCTGCCTATACACTGTACTTGGGTCACAACATGGCATGGTGTGGCATGATGTTGCTTATTTTTGGTTTGTCTCTTAGCTGATTTTCTCTGTATACCAAGCATTCAAAGCAATCTTCAACAACAAAAACAAAACACTGAATGAAATAACAGAAGAAGAATTCTAAAAAGCGGAATGTGAAAACATTAGAAATCTATGCATTAATGGAACAAAGGTCTCAACACAAAAAGTTTTCACTTCTCTGTGGAAACAGCAGAGAGAAATAGCTTGGTAGATCTCACAAGCCTCATAGAAAAACGTTGCCCTGTTCCACCATGGATTTTGAAGAAGGGTATTAGAACCAGGTTTCTCAAGCTGGATTGAAATATATTCAAGAGGAAGTGCTAAAATTCAGGCTGTTCAGGGCTTTATAGGTAATCACAAACTACTAAATGGGAAAATTTGGAAGCCAACGTAGATTAACCCAAAGTAAGTTAATTACTGTAATACATCCCATTGTTTGTCTTCATTAGAGGACAGGATGCAGATCTCTATGCCAGACGAAGTTTCCAAACTCCCAGGATAGTGCATATCCACATATGGAGCTTTGCACCTATTAAGTTACCAAAGCAAGGATAACTGTAGCAAGATCCTGATCAGAGATTCATAGCCTATGTACAAATCAAAGTTCATAAGGTATATTGATAACTGCTACCATTGCCAAGTTAAAGCAAAGCAAGTTACAGGAGTATACTCATGCTGTGAACCTGCTCTTTCATAGACAGCACAATTCTGTCCAAAATATGCTATCCCATCATCCTTCAATCAGTAGTTTCGAAGCAACTGTGCATTTGCTATGCTGTAAATTGATAATCTGTAAAGACATTTAAGGCAAAGGAAAGCAAACACATGAGAGAAGGATTAATTTATTTATTAAGAACATTTTATGTGGCCTCTCCAGGAATCTGTCTGAGGAAAAATAAAAATAATACAAACAGAATAAAAGATAATAAAATTTTAAAAATAAAGATATTAAAATCCAGCATTAAAAACTCAGCCCAGCATAATAATATAAACCATAAAAACAGACCACTGAGAGCTTAAAACAACAGTTTCCAGGCTGAAATAGTGTTAAAGGATGAACCACGTAATTTAAAGGCTGTGTGAATATAAAAATTTTGCAATATAGAGGTCAGGTGAGCCTTAAGGGGAAGGGCATTCCATACTGGAAAAGCCCTGGGTCTCATTGTCCCACATCTCACCTCTGAAGGTGGGGGCACAGATAGCAGGGCTTGTGACGCAGATCTTAACTGGTGGGCTGGACAATATGGGAGGAGGTGGTCCTTCAAGTACCCTGGCTGCAAGCCATTTAGGGCTTTAAAGGTAAGAACCAGCCCTTTGAATCATGCCCAGAAACAAATGGGAAGCCTGTGCTGATCTTTCAGCACTGGGATGATGTAATTGCTGCATATGGAGGACCACTGTCATTCCAACTAGACCAGTACTGGGCTAGAAGGCCAATGGCGGCTTTAGATCACACCCATTATAACAAGAGTACTGACCCTTCTAGGAAAACACAAATCTGCTTGTTTGTATGTGTATTCATCCTGCATGCCTTCCAGATGTCAGGTGGATGTTTAGTTAGATAAGTAATTTTGTGGTTTGGTTAATTAAACACAGAAGAGTCACGTTGTGAAAATAATGTCAGTTAGTTTATCAGAGTTTTTTTACTGCAGTTTAGGAACAACATAGGAAATGCTTTCATTTTCACAATTAAGTTTTTCTAAATTGGAAGGAAAAACACATTCTACTTACTTGCTCATAGTTAAAGCTATCCAGCATGCCCAACACAAGACCCTGAATTTCTCCAAGTTTTCCTCTACCATAGACTGGATCCTGTATGAAAATATTGAATGCTACTATTAATTTACATAAATTAAAACAAATTCAAAAACTTACTTCACACACTAATAGCAGGGAGGGGGGAGCTTTCTGGCTACAGCAAAAATGTACAACTGCTCATGTAATTTCAAATTGGAAAAACAAGAAACAATGGTTAAATCTCTATCTAAATATTTATTTGCAGAGTAGGAGGAGAACACCAGGGTCATCTAGTTCAACCCCCTGTCAACACATGACCTTTTGTTGTTCAATCGCACAGTTGAGTCCAACTCTTCGCGACCCCGTGGCCCATATCACACCAGGCTCTCCTATCTTCCACTGTCCTCCAGAATTTGCTCAATTTCATGTTCATTGCATCGGTAACACTGTCTAACCATCTCATCCTTTGCTGTCCCCTTCTTCTATAAATTCGCCCATTCCTGTCCAGCTTAGTCGATGTTCAGTCTTGCCTCATTTTTGACCACATCAAGCATAATATCCCTGACAAGTAGGTATCCAATCAATACTTAAAAACCTCCAGTGATGAAGAATTCACCACCTCATGAGGGAAACGATTCCAGGCTTGAACATACCTCACCATCAGGAAGTTCTTCTTCAAATTTAGACAAAACCTCTTTTGTTGTAGTTTATATACTTTACCACTGATTGATAGAAATACCTCTAGGTCACTAAAGTAAAACTGAACTTTGAAATTCTCCTAGAGCAGCCTCAAAATACTGCATGAAATGGTAGCATAAGTGATCTTCCATTACTTACAAGAACAGGCTGCTGGGCTTACAGGGATGATGCTGAAGACTGCTTAGGAGGGGCCATGCCCTAGAATTCCGCCTCAGCTAACCTTAGCGTTTTCCTGTCCT